GCCATTTTTAAAAGAGAATAATTAAATACTCCAGGATTTCTCTTTTTTTTGTCAGCAGAACAAAATCTACTACCTAAATCAATCTTCATGCAGGCTGTTAAATACAAAGTATCGCTACAAGCATGCTTAACATTTTGAATTAATTTCTCATTTATTAAGTTTAAATCCTCAGCTTTTGCATCCTATTCAGGGTTGTTTATTTCCTAATTTAGCTTGAAGTCTTTTGCGACTTTCAGTAATCAGTCCACATAATCTAAATTTTGTCAAAAGTTTCAGAATGAATAATCTGATGTACAGCGATTTATATACTGCATACGGCATGTTATGTATCCTGAGAGACATGAAAGATGACAAACTTGATTTCCCATGAGACAAATTTTTCCCACACCACTTAGACAGATAAAATGTATGAAACATAAAAAAGCTTAAGCAAAATCCTGACTTCTCTGAATCAAGGATCATTTTGTGATTTCCTCCAACAGAGCCAGAATTCATCCCTGAACCTCCACATAATAATGCTGTCTTCAGTCATCTCTCTATTGAAGCTTCTTCTCAAACCACAGCAGTTCTGAAATCCTGCCACAAAAATCCGGGATCTGCAGCTGAACACCACTAACAAGGACAGCCATGGAACAGTCACTTTCGTTCTCAGGTAATATGGTGGCTGTAAGCAAAATCCTTCAGTGAGAGTGCACTTAGTGCCAATCCTTTTGCGCACCTATATAGTCCAAAAGTTGCAACACATGGAGATCGATCCAAACATTATTAATCTATGAGAGAAAAAGTAGGTATATACATTTTGTCAGAAAACTGTTACTACTGAACATCCACTGAAGCAATGGCAGACAGCCAGAGATGACAACAGGGAGTAAGCTGAGTGCAACTGTGCACATCTGTTTATGAAAACTTGCCTACCTGCTCCCAGTTCAGGTACATGTACAACCTGTCCTTTTGCAATTAAGTACTTTACTATCCAGAATCAATGCCCAATTCTCATTTAGGAATTTCACCACTGATCTGCGCACATACTGAAAGATAACATGCAAAGTATGTGATTAAAACCAGGAGAGACAGGCTTCTTGGTTTGCTTTTAGAAATGCCTTCTCTGTCCTTTCAATAATGCAACAGTCAGACAAATGATCTCTTTGGTATTAGTGACCGATCTTGACCTTACAATTCAGAACAAAAATATAGAATCATAGAACAGTTAGGGTTGGAAAGGACCTTAAGATCATCTAGTTCCAACCCCCCTGCCATGGGCAGGGACAGCTCCCACTAAACCATGAGCAAAAAAATGAATTACATGATAAAAATCATCCATGCTGAAAATCTGAATGCCAAAGTTCTGCAAACAGTCTACTTCTGAAGCACTTAAATAAAACAATACAATTCAAAGTATATACTGCAAGCATCATTACTGGCATTAAGACAAGCGCCACACCTCTTCTGTTCCTGTAAGTACTGCAGTTCCTGTCCTGTCTCCCCAGATTTTCATTATACTGCTCAGGGAAGATAAAAACACTGATCAAAAGAGACCAAGGCAAAATTCTGATCTTGTGGATGTTCTTCTAGGCAGCATTAATCACCAGGATATTTTCATGCTTTCAGCAAGATTTATACTTATATTTCCTCAGTGGCTGTGCCAAAATACAAATATGTGCTGGGCGAAGAAATTTCAGATAGAAATTTCAGTACACATTTAAATCAGTATTTCTGTCATTTGAATGATGATCGTATAAAATAAAAATATAGAAAAATACTTAAAATTTTAAAATTTCATCAGAAGAAATAGAATAATGATTTTCAGATTTAAAGAACCTTTAGTTCTTCATATGAATTGCAGGTTTGAGGTGTTGTTGATATAAACTTAAACCCTGTCAGAACTAGTCTTTGCTAGAATATTCAGTAACTACCTATTTATATTTTTAAAACATAAAACCAATTAAGTATCTGTCAAAGAACTAATTAGACAATACATATTAATTATCTAATTATATGATTTTTTACTAAGCTATGCAATTAGCACCTGATTATATAATTTCATATTTTATATCTTTTATGTCATTATGAAAAAGGTAAGCTTTCAGCAGAACCCAACACAATGTACATTGGATAAAAATAAGAAAGTGACATTTCTGAGTCACATCCACTGCTTCCAGATGGAAAAGTGCCTCGTTGTCCTGCAAAACAAATGGACATGCTATTAACAGCAACTGGATATTAAATTTTACAATCTCTTATGATCTTTTTATTTCACTTGGTATTTCTGGATGCAGTTATATATTTATACACACACTGATCTGATCTTAGATTGGACATGAAATTTATCTGAGAAAGCTAACCGCATTATGAAGGATTCTATACTGAATGATTGTTAGAACATTAGGGAGCAGTGTGATTTTATTTTAAAGGAAAGCAGACTCATTGGCTAGCTACAAAATGTTTCAGTATTCTAAACAATTTAAACTTACGGAAAGATTGGGGGGGGGGTCACTGTCACGTTCTGATTTCTATTGATAATACCCTCGGAGCAGATTTTTGAAAGAATATTTCACTGGTATTTCACAGGAGCAACTCCATATATATACAAGATGGTGGTGAAAAATAGTAATTACATAGTTTTTTGTCCTGGGTTCAGCTGTAACAGTTATATTTCTATGTGCATAGTGCTGTGTTTCAGCTTTAGCCTGAGAACAATGCTGATAACACACCAATATTTTAGTTGTTACTAAGTAATGCTTACCCCAATCAAGTACTTTTCAGTCTCTCATGCTCTGCCAGTGAAGAGAGGCACAAGAAGCCGGGAAGAAGCAGAGACAGGACACCTGACCCAAACTAGCCAAGGGAGTATTCAATTCCACAGCATGTCATGCCCAATATATAAACTGGGAGGAGTCACCTGGAAGGCCCAGATTGCTGCTCAGGTCAGGCTGGGCATCAGTCAGTGGGTGCTGAGCAATTGTATTGTCCATCACTTGTGTTTATTGCCCAGGGAGGTTGTGAATGCTCCATCCCTGGCAGTGTTCAAGACCAGGCTGGACGAGTCATTAGGTGATATTGTTTAGTGTGAGGTGTCCCTGCCCACGGCAGGGGGGTTGGAACTAGATGATCTTAAGGTCCTTTCCAACCCTAACTATTCTATAATTCTATGATTATTGGTGGTAGCAGCAGCAGTTCTGTGTTATACCTTAGTTACTGGACTGTTCTTATCTCAGCCCGTGCGGTTTACACTCTTTTGATTCTCCTCCCCATCCCACCAGGAGCCAGAGAGGAAGAAAGGGGAAAGTGAGCGAGCGGCTGCTTGGTTCTGAGTTATCAGCTGGGCTTAAACCACAACATTTTTAAACTACATACTTGTTCAAATTTTGAGATGAAGCTTTAGGTTCCATGCAATCACATGCGCAACATCACAGTCATCCTGATTTCCTTAACACCTGAGTCTACCCAGGTGACTGACTTAAAGATGTCATTCTCTAGAAAATTGTACATCTCTATAATGCCACCTTACCATCAACTGTAAAATGACTCAGCAAAAGGAATTTTTGGGGGTAGGATAACCCAACAGAAAATTCTGTGAATCAGCATTATGGAGATGGAGAATGCAGGGAGCTTGCATTCTCTAAGGACACCAGATACAATAGTTTCACTCTGTCCAAAGACACGATCAAGGGACTGAATACTACAGAAGACTAAGCGTTGAGATTCAAAAAAAGGGGTTGCGCTCTTAAGTTCAAAATTGTCATAGCCAGCCTGATCCACTGGTAGCCATTTACCCCATGAAGACACAGAAAAACCCTAAATGCCACTTTGGAAACATGTTACCCGAGATCTACCCTTGCACGTATACAGACTTGCCACAGACTGAGCAGAGAGCTGCCTATCTTGTACATACTACACTGAGCGGCACATCCTTCTGTAAGAGATTACCTCATACAGACTAACACATCCAGGCCCCTTTCAAAATGCTTTTTGAGGCACTGCTGAGGGAAGCAAAACAGGGAGTTGTGCATCATGTTGATATTCACATGAAATCAATATGGCCACCACGTAGCAAAGAACACAAAATTCATACAGCCAGAGTGAAAGGAGAAGAAAAAAAATATGATGAAGTAGTCAAGGGCAGGCATTTAGAAAGCTCAAGTATATGCACAGATAGAGAGAACTCTCTTTAGACATGAGGCAGATAACTTTTCAGATGTAGGAAGTTCAAATACACTCCAGATCTTAGTATTTCACTTTGGCTAGTTCTGGTGGCTGTGTATGACAAATACAAGAACCTTCTACATCCCACCACAAGAAGCTAACAAATAAAACCAGTAAGTTCCAGTCTCTGGGATGGGATATTATATGTGCAACAGAAATTCAGTTTCATCCAGTAGTTATGATCTGGGGGAGGGAGGGGTGTTACACAACTTCATACAACAGTGTAAGTAAAGAATAAGTTTGGGATCCACTAAACAGAGTGAAATGCAACTCTGAGACTATCTGAATTATTAGGCCAATATAATAAGATAGTTCTCACAACTTCTCACTTTCTTCTACATGACGTTAGGTGGTTTCTGGAGTGTGTATTATCAGGTATGTGTAAAATCTGAGTCACTTCAGAATATTTTTGTTCAGCTGAAGATGTGGCAAGGCAACTAGATGGGGATGGTAAAGCAAGCGTAGAAGGCATTATACCCCCTAAATCATCAATCCTGTTTGCATTTACATATTTCGAAACTTAAAGGTAGAAAGACTTATCTAAAGTCATACACACATGCTGACAGGATTTGATTATAGATTACTGAGAACCAGCCAGCTCTTTCCACCATCATCTCTACCTGAGCACCAGTGTGAGAAGAGAGTAGTATTTCTCTTTTTAAAATGAATCGTAGGATTCTACTCTCTTGTTCACTCTTTTTGTACCCATGCTCAAAGTAAGTATACACACTGAAACTGCATTTCAGTACCTTCAGAAAAAAAGAGACAATGTAATGCACAGAAAAACTCTCTCTCACCTTCTAGATCTTCCTTTTCAAAATGTGTCTTGAGAATGGAGCGAGTTCCACCTCTATCCACAACAGCCTCTTCATCATTCCTCTGTAAAACACAAACAAGGACAGGTAAGCTGCTGCTCATCTGGAAAATTTGCAAGCTTGTATAGTATTATGAAACAAAAATGCTTTTAATATTTAATTTTTTCTACTCAGGAACAAAAAAGCTTTTAAGAATATAATTTTTCTTATTAAAATCTATTCTTCATGCCTCAGTTTTTACTGAAGAAAGATTATACCTAACTGACATGTGAAGAAATGTTAAAACCTGCAAAATGATGAATAAACACTGGTTACTGGGAACTAAGAAAAAGATGAGTCAATAGGAAAACAAAACAGATGAGGGAAGAAATGTCTGGTAGAGGCAGCTTTATTCCTGTACTCTTGAAGAAAGGGACTGTACATGTATTTTTGTCTTTTGACCAGGATCCTGAGCTACATATAGAATTTCTAAATCATTAACACAAACACTCCCTATACTTTGGCAAAGCTAGAGAACGATACTCATTGACAACATGGTAAGAAAGAATACTTTAATACCATGAAAACAACTGACTTTGCTTACTGGTGAATTGCAAAGGTTTTGCTTTTCTTTACAAACACCAACTGTAATTACAATTAAGGAAGAGAGAAAAAGTAATAGTAGAAAAGAGAGAAGCTGTTCTTCCTTAAGAACATATATTTCTTGTTTAATTTTATACTGTGATCATACATGCATTTTAGCTATTCTCTACTGCACTGTAAAAGTACCACGTGATGAATTAGTGTATCATGTTTAGTCTAAAAAAATTGCAGAAATTAGTTATTATGGTCACTTCTGACATGAAGAAGGGAAGGGGAGGAAATCACATTTCCCTAAGTAGAGAAATCTTTCGGGATTTCAGTAACAGGGCTAAAACAAATACTGGCTTTACTATGAGCTTGACATCACCAATTGTAAAAATACAGTTACTAAGCACAGCCTATATTTCACAACATGATTTAGTGTTGGTTTCCAGTAAGTTATGATGAAGACAAAAAGATGAATTATACAAAAACATGAACTAATGTATCATGAATACATATTTACTTGTCATTAGTGAAAGGGTTTTAGTAAGCAATAATAGAACTAGAACTGCTTGATTCCAGTGTATAAAATTCGTACTTTAATAGAAGTCTGAAGCAAGGGAATTTGAATATCAATGTTACATGCTAAATATCTGAATCTATATATAGAATGAAACCAAATATAACAAGAAATTAACTACATAAGCATCTCTCCTTAAAGAGCAGATGCCCCAGGCAAAAAGATTCACATCTAGAGCTGGATATCATGCATTCCGGATATAAGTTTTTGTTTCAGGCTCCTCTCTTTTTTAAAAATAGCTATCATGCTGTATCCATGTTATACAGAAAAATCCTGGGAATGTGTCAGCTCCAAGCATCTGGGCTGTTAAAGAAAGAAAGAGAGACTTAGAGTGTTACAGGATCTTTACTAGAGCTTTCCCACAGATAACAGTATGTAACTACAATGTGGCAATGAGAAGAGGCCTTCTATTGAAACCGGTTTGTCTTTTAATAATTTAGAACCTAATAATCTATTAAGGTGTACCAGGGCAGTATAATACAAACAAACCATTTTATCATCTTAGGTAAAAATGAATCCATTATTTTAAGCAGTTTAGACACAACTGGGCGTTCGTTACGTTGGCATGATGCCATGCCCTGGGTGAATGGTTAGGCAGGATGCCAAAGTCCATATTTGTACTGCAGCCGTATCAGAAATAGTGTTATTCTAGTATAAGACAGCCATCAGTATTTTACTGATACCGAAAAGGCCTCATGGAAACAATGTTAGGAGAAATTTACAGTGGGGAACACATTAAATCGCTGGACAGTTTAAAGCCTTTACAGATTATCTAAGTAAATTAAATACAAATTAATTCATTAATATTTATCAAAATATGCTCATACACTTTGACTTCTCCTTTCCCATGTGTTCAATTTTCAGCTTCTGGCAATCTTTTCCTTCCCTGCCTCCTCTTCCTGTAATGTCACAGCAAATCTCAGTCTCGCCTCATTCTCAGAAGTGGGTTTATTCCATTAATATTATAGGGAAAAACAGCTTAATTGGGAGTATTGTGTTGTTGCCAATTCACTTGTCAAAGTCTGAGCAAAGACCAATTAAACAGGCCTTGCACTGTACACTCTCACTTCCAGGGAGCAGTATGAAAGCCACCTTGCATTTACCAGTACAGAAGTTATTTCTGTTATTCCTGTACTACCTCCTTGGAGGAGGGGAGACAGGAGGGAAGGGCTCACTATTAGCTTAGTGCAATTAGGTCTTAATCTTAGTTGGAGGTAAACACTATTGCCATACAAGTAAAAATAGAGGCAGATCCACTCCACTCTCCCATGATGTCTAGAGACTAGAAACCTAATTTTAGTTTATAATCTGCTTTTTATTACCTTTTCAGAAAAACTATAAAATCGTTATTTTTAAGTGTTGCAATAAATGAGAGTTTCAAACCGAAAATGTAGGCAAGACTAACTATAGTCATGGAAGATAGAATTCAGGCTCTGGATGACTTTTAATGTACCAAGCAGTCAACCAACCTCTACACTAATAAAGCCATGAATCCACTGCAGTTTTGCCCATTAGTTTCAGCAGGATCAGAAGTAAGCATGAAAACTCAATGCTTTTCACAGCCATGCGATGCTTATTTCAGAATTCTAACACTTCTCCTTTCACCTATTTGAAGATGATGAAGGTCAGAAATTTTACACAGTGCACAAATCTGCTAGAACTAGGGTATTCAAATCATACTGACTTATTGCAGGAGTCTGCAAAAAAATGTATGGACACACTGACCAGGTACGAGTCCTTGGAACTGTCCATTATTGCAATGAGTTGCTTGCTGAGTCCAGTGAACACTGTGGTCTACTGCTTAAAGCATGGGAGAGGGATCCAGGAAGTCCCCGAGCGCTAATCCTGGATCTGCCACTGACTTGCTGTGTGGCCTTGGGAAATTCACTTAATCTCTGTGCCTCAGCTTCCCCATCTGTAAAATAGGGATAATAATACTTACTTACCTACCTTCCTGACCAGGCTGCTCTGTGCTACAATATATTCACACAGCATTTCAGAACTGTAAAGCACCACAGAAGTGGAAAATCATTCAATTTAGGAAACTCTACCCACGTGAAGATACGATGATAGGAAACCACAGACTGACAAAAATCAACATTTAGGCATAAAGTGTTTTGGGTTTTTTCATCAAACCAATGTATATTAATACCTTCTAATACTTCTAAGGTGCACAGCTTTAACAACTTAACTGGACAAAGTTCACACAAAAATAAGCATACTGGGCTTGCATTCTATTAGCCTAATTCAAAAGCAATCTGCAGAAGAATTATATTTATGTGAAGCTGTAATCAGAGCACAATAAACATGGCATATATTTATAAACAACCTAACACTTCTCTCTCTTTTTAATTGTATTTGTAAATATTTTATTGTTTTATATAGTTATCACACCATGGTTTATTTAAACGTAGGTACAAACCTTTTATTTCCCTAAAGCAATAAAATATCAGCAAACACATAGTAAAAGAAATAATGTATCTGGGATAAAAGAGTAAGTAAAAGCTGAGGCTTTCACGTGGAAACCACAAGCTCCTTGGAAACCAGGGCTCAGCAACTCTACTCAGTCCATGATTTCACCTCTTACATTTTCCAAATGAATGCTGAAATGACCTTCACCACATAGCAGCATCTGCTGCACATATTTCACAGAGAAACCTAACTTAATGAGTCTTACAGACATAGTTGTTACTATTTTTGTCTCCTTACACTAGAAATTTAAATACAGTGGTGAGTATAGAAAAGCAGACAGTAGAGTCATCCTCTGCATCCTTCACAGTGCCACCACACACTGTAACACTGAAACATGTATTTGAACACAATTAAAAGGCAATCAACAACCTTCAAAGACATCTGACTTCCACTTTTTGGTATTCAGTCATGAAGGAAGAAGGTCACCATGAGTGGTAGGAGTACTGCTTTTCAACCTTAGATCAACAACCGGCTTATCAGAGTACAAAGTGAGGCTGCAGCTGTTGCCAGGAATTTTAAGTCAGAAGGAATAGAAAGGCCCATGGTTTAGAAACTTAAATGTCTAAAGTGCCCTTTCTACTAATGTATTGATAAAGATCACTACCCGGGATATTTCAAAGCTGTATAAATGACCTCCTGGAAAGCTTCCCAAAGCTTCCTCTTTAGCTATGATACAGCCCTAACTGTAATTCATCTTGTGTTGCAAAGAGGCTGATCCTTAAACCTGTCACCTCCCAGAACCATGCACTGCCCTTCTACACCTCAGACCACTTAAATTAATGGAGAAACCACACATTTAGAAAAGCTGAGAAGCATCATTGTATGACAGATGCTTTGGGGCATTTTTAGTTCTAGCTCTTGGAAATGTTGGTGCTTTCATCATGTGGTAGATGAATGGAAGGAGGAAAGTACCTCTTTTCAAAGATGGATCCACACTAAAGCATTCTTAAATACCAATGTGCTAACGTAGACACACTTGTAGAAGTTTAGGATATTTCTGGATGATGGAATTAGGACATATTCCACATATTCTAAATGACAAGAAGGTAGATTAAAGTGTAGGTGACAATACACAATTTTTATTATATGTATTTTTATGTGTATTTACTAAAAAAGGAAAACCAACGCATGATCTTAAAAGACACTATTGCTTGTATCATAAAAGCTACCTGAACATTACACAAACATCTACTGAAGATCATCTGCGCTGATCACCACCATAAATATAAATGAATAAATGAACAACAATAAATACACATTAGGAAACAGGAAATTGTTTGGACAACAGAAAATTATTAAACAGTTGCAATAAATATGTCTCGCTGACCTTCCCTTAGTAGGTACTCTGCTCCACCTGTATAGTATTTGGTGCCAATATTTTGAACAATGGATAGCACTAAAATTTTCATTTTACATGGAAAACCAGAAATTACTCATTTTCTTAATCCTTCTTTCTACCTAATTTTCTTCATACCTGGCTACTTTTATTTTCTGTCTCTGATATTTGGTCAGTGTTTTCAATAAACTGGATGATTGATTTACTCTGAAACACAACACAAAAAACAGCTCCAGAGAGTATTAATATTACAGAAAAATTTTCAGCATTTTTATACCTTCAGGTAAAATCCTTTTCCTTTTTAATTACATTCTTAATACACCCACAGCACAAATAAAAACATAACCAAAAAGAATCCTTTTTGGTATACTTTTATACAGCAGAACAGAAGCCATTTTGATCTTTTCCTCAGTAGAAATTCTGTATGACACACCTGATGACTCATAAGAAAAATAATCATGGTATTAATTACTTCTCCATATAAGCCACTTACTGATGATTAGACAACCTACATAATTCTCCAATGCCATCTGGAACTCAGGAACACCTGTCAGCATAAAATATTAAATATTGCATTCCTATGAACAATAGAAAGCTATAATATAAAATTATTCTAGTTATTTCATATTATCAATAAACACAAATTAAAAGATGGAACTCCGTAATATATTATAAAATACATAATCTGAAATAAATAAAGTCAGTGGTGTAAACCTTGTGTATTCAGCTTTCAAATGGTCTGTAATGAAATTCTAAACACTTATCCAGAGATCACATACACACCGTGATTGCCTTCCCAGTCTGAAGATATTCCAGCATTATTGTTTTGTACTGTATTTATTTCGCAGACCCATGACACAATATTTCTATTTTTAAGATCCTTTTGTCAAGTTCAGCTTGACATTTCAGAAAAAAATGGCATTATTAAAAACATAGAAAAGTGAGTTACTGAACTCAGGATCTGCCAAGAGCCTTTTGGAATTATCTTGTAAAGATAATTAACCTAAATGGCTAAAAAGCTGTTTATATGTAGATGGATGCTTCCCTGTTGTAGGATGCAAATCACTGGTGACTGCCATGTTCAGCCTTGTCCTTTAAACTGCCCTTGAACACACACAGCCACACAAAACTAGTTCAGTGTACAATATGTACGCCCACAACTTAGATGCTACAATTCTCTTCACTTTCTGAAGACAAGCACAGGGAAGAAAAAAATACACCCTAACATCCAAACTTTTTTAATAGAATCGCATTTAATTATTTATATTACATATAATCATATTTAGAAATCTTTCGAGGTATGAAGTACAGTGAATTTTATCTTTCTGATTAAATATAATTGCTTTTCTGTTCCACTAGCTTCACTATTATCACCCTTTTCCCTCTCTATCCACCTATCAAGGAAGACCCATCAAAGCACATTTATAATTCAATAAGGTCTGGGTTTGTGGCAGCTTTCTGCAGTAATCACTACTAGTTACCATAAAGCACATACTCCTTTTGGTCAGCCCTACTCCACATAGCCCAGGCTATGCAACAAAATAGAAAGCAATTAGTTTTCATTCCAGATTTGCATCTTCCCCAAGGCTGCATTTCATATGCATAGAAGCACCCTTCTCTGCCTCTTTTTCCCTTTTCTCTTTACAGCAAAAGCCAAGATATTGTTTAGCATGGCTTAGTAAAGAAATACCATCTTCTTCAATCCTGCTAAAAATTGCACTAATCAGCACTAGCTCCAAAGAACTCATTTGCTACTGACCTGAGACTAAGCACACATTTAATGTAATAATGCAATTCCTGTAACATGTAAACATAGATAATCACTGCAGACATTAAATCTAAGCACATACTATTGTTATAAAATTAATGATATGAAACGCATGCAGAAAATGCACACACAAATAACACAAAGCAGTTCTACAGACTAGTAAATGCTCACAAATATATGCAATCCCTGTGTTTATCTACTTTGAATCATCCTGTGCTAGTTATTTACCATTATACGCAATACAGCCAGTAAGAACTGATGCATAAATGGATGCATAATCACTAAAATATTTCCCTATCATTTGATAAGGAATCTTCTTTCTTAGAAAGCCATGTTAGGTAGAAACAATATTTTGTACATTTGCAAGGCAAATATGTTACGTTATCTATTCTTCATACACCTATTGTACTGATAACCGCAGCAACAAAAGGAGGGGAGGGGATCACAAACACACAATGTTCCCACTAAGGCTCGATAAACCTGTTGCAGCATTGGATATTATAAGGAAATAATGAACTTTTAAATTCTTTCTGGATTCCAGTACCTGTTTGAAGCATGCCCATTTAATTGCAGCTGTGCTTGTCATCTTTTGTATGCCTCAGAGTAAAATTATCAGGTATGCCTAAATGATGTGAGCGCCTTACGAAACCTGAAGAAGGCACCTAGCTTATGGTGTTTTTATGAACGCTTGCAGTCATGTTAAGATTCCCGTAACTTCTCCCCTTCCTTCCTACTATATTGTATCTGCTGGTTTTGTAAACTAATCTTTCTTCAGTTGCTAGTCTCAGCTAGACCTCCAAATAAATAAAATAAAGTGTTCCTTGCTGCTAGTTAAGCTGGGTCACATCTGCATGACTGAGATTTTATTCCCTTTGCTTCATATTTTTCTTTACTACACTGTCAAATATTTACAAATTATGAAGGCGAGAACAGCACAGAATTCAACCTGAGGCATGGCTATTTTTTATCTCTGTGATTACTATTCAAATGTCTTACGTCATCCCAGTGAGTCCCGTTAGCTGAAATCCTCTTTTCTCATTCACAGCAATGGCTCTCTCAGATACTACAGAGAAGTCCAACAGCATGAAGATGGATGCGAGGACTTTATCCAAAGCCCAAATGAGATTTACTTTTAGCATGTCTAGGCTCTCTCTTGGCCCAATGCCAGGTGAGGACAGATCCAAAATAACAGCATTATTTCCATGTAGTTAAACACGCTGAGTTTAGCCCACTATGCAACAGGATATTAGATGCTGGGCAGCAAATAGAAAACCGTAAGTTATGTTAATTGCTAGTTTCTTAATCAGCATTAAGATAAATTGGTTTTAAGTTAGATGCA